TGTGACGTTTAAGAGACAGACTTCTTTGACTTCTGATTTACTTCTGATTTAATTGCATCAAATAGTGTACTGTATAGAGTACCAGGGGTGCCCACACTCGGTCCTGGAGGGCCGGTGTCCTGCAGAGTTTAGCTCCAACCCTAATCAAACACACCTGAAGCAGCTAATCAAGGTCTTACTAGGCATGCTAGAAACTTCCAAGCAGGTGTGTTGAGGCAAGCTGGAGCTAAACTCTGCAGGACACCGGCCCTCCAGGACCGAGTTTGGACAGCCCTGGAGTAGACTATATAGAAGCATTCTATATAAAACAATAGTGGATTTAACATCAAAATTTAACATCTAATGTTAAAATGTATGTTTGTACCGTAACTGTTTCCCTTTAAAATACTTTGGTCAGTTCAAGAATAATTTATACAATTTTATAGTATTTATTTGAAAGAATTAAAAGAGCAGTTTTATGTTTCTGTCTTATGTCTGGTCAAGATTGATATTAGATTTAGAAAGTTAGTAGTGATAAGTAATGCAATACTTTTTAGAGGGAGTAATTGGTACAATAATCTACACTGATAAAGTAATTAGTATCATAATTAATTATTTTTTTAGATTAACTTAACCAACAATGTTAAAGAGTTAAAAAACAAATCTTTATTTATTTATTTTTACACTTTTTTATAAAAAATAAATGACTAAATTAGGACTTTATCATTCCATAGGTTCATAAATTGGTTTTATGATTATGTTTATTATTCTGAGTTAATATTTGCCCTATTTCTGTGTTTACATAAACGGGCGGAATATAACTTGAATGTAAATTTAAACCCTGCAGCCTTCTGTGGTAAATAATGACACTGCTCACTGGAACATAAGCCTCATTTCAATGTCATACATCCCAGCCCATAAAACAAGCAGCATCACTTGTGCAGAATGTCTCTCTCTAGTGGGAGAACACATGAATGGAGGATCCATTACCTCAGTCTCCAGAGCAGAGCATGCAGGGGACAGCAGTGACTTCACTCACCGCTGAAATTAAAACGAACTCACCCAAAACCCCAAACGGCTGGGTAAAAATAACACTCGCTGCCTGCTGCCTTTTTTAAAGTTTGAAAGGATTCGGTATGAAAGTGACCATAACACCGTGAATCATCAGCAGGATGGTCGGCACACTGTAATGCAGAGCTGGCTTGAAGATACCCTAATTTGTCTACAGATGATATGTAAGGCTTGATCATGTAAACTTACAAAACCCCAAAACCCAGCATGATTAGATTTGTCTCGTGCACCAGCGAAGCTCACAATTACTATTGCTTACAGTTTACTCCGAAACATCATTATACCAACCTAGTCACTGAGCTCACTTAAAAGAGCATGTGACTCCATCAAAATTAGACGGTCGAGCCCAAACAAGTTACTCAGGTGTATTTCAGGTAGTTAGATGTGCCTTTGTCTGATGTTTGTAAGTATATGATAATTATAAGCATTCGCGAGAGAGAAGTCACACTCCCTGTTCTTATAGTAGTAAACATGATCTCATATTTTCCAATGTCAAATAATTCAGAACTTGCATTTCAGCCATTCACAAAACCACATTTATGCACTACAGACTATTTCATTTCTTTTCAAGACACTTTAAGGGTTAAAAGTTATTTTCCTTAAATCAATAAATGAATATACTATAAAATGTTATATTACACTTAATACATTTCACATGTAATTTTATATATTTATATTGTAAAACTTCAACAATAATGTGTATGATGTTTGTTTTGTGATGAGTGTGTGTGTGTGTGTGTGTGTGTGTGTGTATATATATATATATATATATTAAAAATGCAATTTAGTTTTTGTGATGAGTGTGTGTGTGTGTGTGTGTGTGTGTGTGTATATATATATATATATATATTAATAATGCAATTTAATGTTGTAAATGTGAACTATGTATGCATATACAAACACACAACATACAATATATATGAATATAGCTAATTATAACTCCTAGAGATCAAATATGAGACATAGAGTATTAAAATACAATGCAATACTGTAGAAGCAAGATGCATGGTACGTGAATTAAAAGTGGAAAGAAGTTAAGTATTCAGTGAAGTATCGGGGTTGATATTGGTTTAATATTGAACATTTAGAAGATTCAGTAGTCTGATATTTGACATGCTTCATAGTTTTGTCGTGAGATATATCTAATGCAGTCTTTCTAACTTGTCAGAACATGTTAAAAGCAGGTTACTGGTTCACTGGAAAGTCCAGGATTTTATCATTACACTTGCTGCTTTAGAGCTTGTATGGTTTACACATTTGCCAAGATCTATACAGATTTGAAGGCCTCGGCGTGTTAGGGGTGGATATCGAAACCGAGGAACCAAGCCAAGCTATCATTAGTGAGGCTGTGACTCTCCTTAATTTCATATCTAATCTTTGTATCACTGTCAGTGCAATTATTCTCACCTCACTGTGCCTGTTTAATTTGATTTATTAAGCAAAATACATGCATACGCCCCTTCTACAGCAACCATCATGCCTGCTCCTGTTATATAGATAGCTAGATAGATAGCTAGATAGATAGATAGATAGATAGCTAGATAGATAGATAGATAGATAGATAGATAGATAGATAGATAGATAGATATTTAATTTCAATATTTTTTAAATAATATTGTATATTATTATAATAATAATGTAAATAATTGAAATAACTTTTTTTCTGTATTAAAATAATGAGAATTTGAGGAAAACATGCTTAATAGTTGTTCGCTTAGTACATAGAAGTTGCGTCTTCTCCCTCCAACAACAAATATATACACAGGTAATAGGTATGTATTCTTTACCCTTGGGGTTTTAAAGCCTTTGCATTCTCAAAAGAAAGATGAAAGTGGTTTTCTTAACCATTCTCACTCACACCCAGCACACACACACTCATCCATCTCCCTGTGTTTGCTTTGAGCTCTTTAATTAAAGCACAATGTCACCCAGAGGAATGGTTTGTGTTTTTACTACCTCTCATCTTTAAGGCCTTTGAGCTACAGCCCAGCACAAGCAGAACACCCACAGCAATAACACACACCTGCTTGGGACGTTCTTCATCGCACCCTCTGATCCTCCTCCTCGCTTTACAAATCTGCAAGAGGAAGAACACCTTTTCACCTGTGGCACAGAAATGAAACCTTCGCTCAGGCCTGGTCCGATCTGAAGTCTTGCTGAAACAGCAGCCTGGAAATTTCTGTGATGAGATTCCAGTTGGCTGCAGTGTTTTGCTGCTTGTGTCAATCATGTAACGCGATTAACAGAAGCTTGAGTATTGTGTAGATTAATGAACCTGAGGTTATACACGGACCTACAGTTTGCCAGGGCTCGTTTGCGAGGCCAGAGCACAAAAACTATACTAGACTTTGGCAGTTTTGTGTGTTGAGGCTAATTACAGAGCACTGGTGTGACTGAGAAACCTCAGGGGTTTGTTGGTGGAACAATCTTTTACTTTGGACTAATTACATTTCAAACAATGCAAAAACAACCTCTATGAGGAATAAGAGAGAGGAAAACCACTAAAAATGATTATACTAAACTATTATAAAAACTACACTCAACCATTCAAAAGTTCTGAGGTCAGTAAGACTCATGCTTTTATTCAGCAATGATGTATTAATCAAAAGTGAGAGTAAAGGCATTTTACAATAGATTTTTTATTACAAATAGATGCTGTTCCTAACCACTAAAAATGATTATACCAAACTATTATAAAAACTACACTCTACCATTCAAAAGTTCTGAGGTCAGTAAGACTCATGCTTTTATTCAGCAATGATGTATTAATCAAAAGTGAGAGTAAAGGCATTTTACAATAGATTTTTTATTACAAATAGATGCTGTTCCTAAGAATCCTAAGCAGCTGTTAAAACGTTTTCAACATTGATGATGAAAAGAAATGTTCCTTGAGCACCAAATCAGCACATTAGATTCATTTCTGAAGGATCATGTGACACTGAAAACTAGAATAACGGCTGCTGAAAAATTGAATCTGCCATCACATGTATAAATTACATTTTCAAATATATTAATATAAAATTGTATCAAATAAATGCAGCCTTGCCGAGCATAAAATACTTATTTTTTTCTTTTCCTGACCCCAAACCTTTTCAGTGTTTTGTTTATAAAATGTTATTGAGTCAAA